GAAGGAAAGCCACAAAAGGAGCTCTACAGCTATTTAGTTTTCTAGTTCAGTTATTCAAAACCTGCTAGTATGTTCAGGGAGCTTCTCACAGGGAACTAGGAAGGGGAAAGAGAAGCAGTTGGAGCGTGGACCTGAGTGCACCACGAAGCTGCTCCTGCCTGTCCCTGACTTTCCATTGTTGCCAGTTGGCATTAACTGAGTAAAGAGGGTCTCTGCACTGCTGCTGGGAGAAGAGAGAAACTGCATGTGTAACACAGTAGAGTATCCATCTCCCTTCTAAAGGCCACTCATGCCACAGGGTGATAAGGCAGCCCGTGCTAATGCTTAGTGTATCCTAGTAAGGCCCATGTAGAAGCCATGTATTCCCTGAGACTGAAGTATTCTCTGGAAGGAGTTCTGTTCCAGGAAGCAGCCAGCCCAGCCTGTGTGTGACTGCTTGCAAAACAAAGCTCATCCATTGTTTTTATCTAATTTCCATTACTAAGGTTCTTTAGGTTGGTTTTTGGGAGTAACTTTTCACAACCCTTCTGTCTGTCTTCAGCAATGGCAAAAACATGTTGGAGAAAAGAAGGCACAAGTCATTTTGTTGCCATCTTCTGATTCTTCAGGTGTCTGAGGTCCCTTTTTCCTTCTCAGATAATTAGCTGATTAAAAAATAACAAATGCAATGTTTTCTTCTGCAAATATTTACTGAAGCTTCTGCAGAATGGTATGTAGTGTTATTTGGTCTTAAGTCATTAAAATGCACCTTTGAAGTTTAATTTATCATATCTTAAGATATTTACCATTTAGTTGCATAAAGATATGCCATCTAAATAAATATAATTCCGTAAATAATGGTTATTCACCATATTACCTATATATAGATTCCTCTTGCTGTTTGAAATGCTGTTTTAATTTACTGATGAATGATGATTGATTTAATAAATAAAAAAAAAAAACCCACTCTGTCTATAATTTGACAATTTCCTATTCTCAGTTCTGGAGGAGAAATAAGAAACTTATGTGTCCTGGAAAATAGCTATTAAGTCTACGATGTATCTTGTGAGCTGAACTCACTGAGATTTCTGAATAAAAGTTCACATTTCAAGTTCAAGGCTGTGCAGCTAATCATATTCAAATATAATGAAGATAAGAAGGAACAAATACCATAAGGTCAGCTTTGGAACTGCAGGACAAGTCATTCAGTCTTACGCATTCTGCGGGTGAAGTGTGGTGAGTCTTCCAGTGTTTTTTAAATTAAAATTTGGCAGAAAGATTTTGTTGGCAATTTAGGCAGATAAGGATTTTGTTTCATGAAGAAGCACAACTGAATATGGTCAACAGTATCATGCTGTTGTGAAAAAGGCAGATGTCAGATGAAGCTCTGTAAGCAGGAGCATATCCTTCAAGAGAGGTGGCAGCTGACAGCACCCTGCTGTTCATTTCAGAGCTGGTGAGGACTAGGAGGGAATGCTTTGCCCAGTTGTGGGTACCATATCAAGAAAGATGTGGATTACTGGAGCAAGATGAGGAAAGAGCGATGATAAGTGATGAGAGATCGGGAAACAGGGCCAAGGAAAGACTGAAGGAATTGAAGTGATTTAACCTGGAGAACAGAAGTCTGAGAAAGGAAGACTGAGAAAGACATGGTGACAGTCTTCCAAAAGGTAAAAGGTAGTTGCAAAAAGGACTAGCCTGTTCTCCGTGTCCCATGAGGACAGGGCTACGCAGAGGCTTAGTATCACTGCAAAGAAAACTCAAGTTACGCATTAAAGGAAAACTTGTGAAGGTAAGGTTAGCTAATCACTTGAATAGGCTGCGTGGAGAATTTGGGGAGAGTTCCAAATATTTGGGGAGATACCCGTCACCCAGGAATGGTACTGGCTTTGCTGATTCTGTCTAGGGAAGGGAGGAGAGCTAGCTTTTTAAGTGCCTCCAAGCCCTCTGGGTTTGTGGTACTCCAGTCAGTGTGTTTTGTGGGGTATTTTTAATATGTGAATGAATGAATTATATATTCCCGTGTTATGTACTAGTGTCTCTTTGTGTATGTTTGTGAAAATAGAAACGAATTGTATGATTTCAACAGGCAGGGAAGACTGATTTCCTGGAAAACTTTTTCTCAAATGCTAGAGAGTATGAATTTTTTTTTCCTTTAAGCAGTTCCAAAACTGTTACTGTAACAAAATAGAACAAAAAGATCAGAGAATGTTCATGCTCACAGAACATAAATTTGGTGATGTAGCTCCTTTCTGCCTCTTCACATTTCCTAAATAATCAAACTGTCTTCTGAACTAACAATTACGTTGGTCTTTTCAGCACAGGTTTCAGTCAGCTCTCAAGAATTTGAAGCAGAGGGGCTTGGTGGGAGAAAACTGCTCTGTTTCAACATTCTTGTTAATGAATGTTATGTTTTTTGAAAGATAGTAAAGAGAGGAGGACAAGGAGAGCTTGTCCTCAAGTCTCACAGTCTCAGACAGTATTGCACCATGAATATGCACTCAGCTTGTAAGCGCTATGACAATAGCAAGTCCGCATGAGATGGGCTCAGCGAACGTGGCTCAGACAGATGCTGCATCAGCCAACCTGCTTTGTACTAAGTC